CAATACGACTACCTATAGGTGTCTATACGCGGTCTATGTCCAACTATGTATTGAGGTCCGTGCACGACAACTCGCCGTTTCCAGCGAATCTACAAAATTCCAGTATTAAATACCAACGATCCGCAGCTGTAATCTACCTATAGTAATTTATATAATAAAAGTGAATTTCCACATTTTTGGTCTGAAATAAATTTTAAAACTACTTGTGCGATTGAATTTAAAGTTAACATATAGGGATATTCCGTCTGGATCTCACTGATCTCATATGCGGCGATAGTATGTGATGGACAAAAACTATAATGTTCATGATTTATAACAATATGTCCTGTCACAATTTTAAAACTATTTTTCTGGATCGGAAAAAAGTATTTTTCAATGAATAAAAAAATACAAATAAAAGTATTCAGAATAAGTATTTGAATACTTATTAGTAGTATTTAAAAGTATTTAAAATAGTATTCGAATATTTTACAAGACTGTATACATGCATTATCTCAGGATGATTGCAGTGTATGATATACGAAACACTGGATGCATTTCTGCCTTCTGAATAAGTCGATATCCAAGTGTCCTGGAGTGATTTTTTAAAATCATCTCCGGAATATAATTAATTCGTTGACATAATTTTTAATTTTTTTACTGTGTAATTCCAAATGTATGAATGCACGCAATCATGAAGCATTTTATGCCACATATATCACATAATTTGATTTTGAATTTTATATAAAATATCATGTTATTATCATTATAGTATACCAATATAATATATTATGGTTATTAATTATTATAGGTACCCATTACAGTGCATCGACCACTCAAAATTCGACGAAATTCTATCTAATTATCTAAATAACTTAGATTTATTGAACTATCTATATTTTCAACATTTTTGTTTAGTATACCTACTATAGGTATACTAATATAGTAATATACCTACTAATGAATGTTAGTAATTCCTAGTGATGACTCATTTGACGAGCGCGATTAATGTGTAATTTAAATACAATTATCGGTTTGAATTTTTAATACTTTAATACCTAATACCATCGTCCATCAGTGTGTTTTGAATCAAAATTCTTTGTCAGAATTAATTGTGACAAGAGCCTTCATACATTATATTTATATGTACATAATTATAGGAACTAGCCACTTGGTACATAATATAATAACGCAATTTGCAAATCGCAAATCGCTTGAATATTTCACATCAAAAGAGAAAAGATAAATAAACAAAATGTTAACAAAGAAAAAACTGAATATTTAATAAAAATTGAACTTTAAAGGTAATGTTTAACTAAATATTTTTCGAATATTGTAAAACGAATTATTACATCCAATAACAAATTAGTATTAGATAAATTCAATATCATATGTCTGTATAATATATAAAATTATTATTTGTGGGTACTTATTAAATTTCGTATAGTAAAGAATAATTAGGTAATAGGTACCAATTAATAGTACCAAGGTAGGTCGTAGATACATGATATAAACACATACGTAATATAATATAATTATTTTTACTAACTTAAAATAAAACTTTAAAATAGCGGGTAAGTAAATGTCACTCTGCTACATTGGGTGCCTATCAGGCCGTATGTAATGGGTGGTATTAAATTTGAATTCAATGATATCATATCATTGTATACGAAAAACGATTCTGAGCGGAGACGGTATGTCAGACGTCAGTCCAGGATATTTTATATTGTTATAACTTATTATTAAAATGATAGCCGGTAAGTTGAATTAATATTATTCTTAATTTATCAGTGATGCTAGAAAAATATATACCTATGTAAAATTGGGCTGTTTTGGAACCGAATTATAACAAAATGATAACCATTATTCTTGGTGTTAATATGCAATTTTGTCCAAATTTGAACTTAAAATGCATGTAAAAAAACATTGTATTCATATATTTTTTAGATTTCTTAGTTATGGAAAAAACTGCTTAAGTGGAACCTTGCTTTAAATTTTCAACTCTTAGCTATAAAAATTGAACATTTTATACATTTTTAACTACAAATAATTTTCAATTTTCAATTTGATAAATATTGTCAAAATTTGAACTTTAAATACTTATAAAAAAAAATATTGTCTATGTATTTTTAATATATTTAAACTCCTATTGTGACAAGTTATCAAGCGTCTTGTATTAAACTGTAATGCTTTTTGACCCAACCAATATAATTGTATTGACATTTATAGGAAAAAAATGAAAACTGAAAATGTCCGTTAACAGCTTAAACCAAGTCAAAATATTTTGAAAATGTCATCAAGTATATGAATAAATAAAATAAACATTTGGTGCAAATTTCAAGTGTCTACGGCAATTCGTTTTTGAATTACAACAAAATAAGAAAATCGCTACAAAAGAAATCGAGTGAATATGTCCAATGTTGTAAAAATTTCACCTTCAAAGGCTCATAAAAATTATTTGACTTTTCGGTAGAAATTTTGATAAAGGTAGACAAACTCGTAAGGAATCTTGTACGAAATTTTTAAACCTTATAGATATAAATAGAAAAAATGTTATGCATTTCTATCTAAATATAATTTGCTAATTTTCGTGATTTTTACGAATTTTTACAAAATTCTAAGTTTAATTTCAATTTATTGGATTTACGCTCAATTTTTTTAAAATTTCTATTAACAACAACTTGTATGGAGCCTTGTATTACATTTTCAAGTTTTTTGACCGAGCGAAAATGTTTTTATCAACTTCAGTTCTATGTATATTTATAGAGTTCTATTGAATTAAAAAATAAAATAAAAACCATTCGTGTACAAGCAGGTATGTATTGGGAGTAATCTTAGGTAAAGTATTAAGTGGGATGTAAAAATTATAATACTTGAAAATTTAATTTATTTTGAATTTGTATACCTAATGTGAAATAAATATTTATCAATTATATTTTAACTTAATTTCTTCTTGTCTGTTAATTCTTCTTGGCCTTCAGGCTTCAAGTTACATGTATAATATAGATGCTGCTGTATTATATTATACTTTATACATTGTGTCATTGTCATTGCTCATTGTCATCGTAAAACAGAAATTGTATGAAATATTTATCCCATTTAAAATCGATTGGCGTACACACAAGTCTAAGTGTATTATTATAAATACGATTTATATATCCCACCAATTAGACACGTCTCGTCGTCCCCTATTGTATAGTAAAGTTATGTAGTTACCTTCGAACTACTGGAAAGTGGATTAAGAAACTGAAAAAAGATACCTAAAATCTAATAAACACAATAAGAAAAATGTGGACAAGTGGGCACTGCTCTGATGTACATTATAATATATTATTTATTATTTATACATTAGTTGTCGCATATTATGGGTCACTGTAATAGTGTAATGAATGAGTTAAATTTGAACTCAATAAAATCAAATCATTGTATATAAAGAATGATTTTGAACGAAGACAGTCTGTCAGCCTATATTATATAAAGTATATTATATTAATATTATTAAAGTAATTTATTGTACTATTTTTTGTAAAATAGTAAAATAGACACCCAGTTACTTAGGTTGAATTCATTAATTGATACACTTCAAAAATTTCGAGTACCCTCGAATAATATTTTGAATTACAACAAAAAAACTAAAATCGTTATTCTTCGTTTAAATATCTAATTTTGTTCGAATTTGAACTTAAAATATCTATTTAAAAAAACTGTATTTATTCTATAATTTTTAGAGTTTTTGGTTACAGTATGGAACTCATGTGAATCCTTGTTTTAAATGTTCAATTCTTAGCTATACAAATTTAACATTTTATACTATTGAACTACTTTTTTCATATTATTGAGTGATTTTGATGAATGTTGTTAACATTTGAACGTAATAAGTACTTAAAATGCTTGTAAAAAAAAACCATGCCTATGTATCTTAAATATTTTCGAACTGCCATTCAAAATATACTTATGAGTTACGAGGAACCTTGTATTAATCATTTTATTTTAGTTATAAATAGAAAAATATGTATCAATATTTATAAAAAAAACTAAAAAATTAAAATGCTCATAAAAAATGAATTTAATATTCGGATTAACTTTTTTTTGTTGAAGATGGGCAAACTTATGAGGAATCTTGTAATATATTTTCGGATCCTAGACATAAATAAAAATGTTTATGAATTTATAACTTAAAATCATTTGCGAATTTTAAGTTTAGATACTCATAAAAAAAAGCGGAATGTGAATTTACGTAAATCTGTTTTTTAAAATTTCATCTAACAACTTATGAGGAACCTTTTGGTTTGGATTAAATTTTCAATGTTTTTGACTGAGTGAAAAATTAATTATCGACAATTATTAAAAAAAATACCAACTTATAAAAATCTAATTTTTTACGCCTTTAAATGACTCAAAGAGTCAAAATATTTTGAAAATTGTACGATGTATATAGAGAGTCTATATCTAATACATAGTTAAACTCGGTGAAAATGATTACAGTTCTTAAATTAAATTATCAAATTAAGTACTAAATTCTACGGTTATTCAGGGTTACACTAATGAATCAAAATCGATTTTGGGGAAAATTCCCGTTTTTCCTTAATTTTTTATCTGGTTTTCTCGCATGTTTCCCTTTGGTCCCTTTGAATTACCAACTAGATTCGCTTTCCAACTAGAAAAGATGCTCAAGTAGATAATTCAAACATTTTTGCTGCCCCAAAAGGTGTTGTCAGACAAAAAAAATAAACACACACATCATTGCAAAATCAATACATTCATTGATCCGCTGAGAATCTAAAATGTTAAATATTTAATCTCTAATATTTGGTAATTAGGTACCTATCATATCATATTAACATATATTTATAAATCACAATATCACATTAATAATATTTTATGGATCATGATCTGATGTGCATAAAATATAAATGTATAATATTATAATATTATCTGTAGTTACATGGCTGTGATAACGCGTTATCTGGTGCCCATATTCGGAGGAAAACCTACAACCTTATCACAGACTTCTCGACTGTCGATATCAATTTTTAATATTTACATATTATTATCTACATTCTATTTCACTTATAAGCACATTTCACACTTCAGCATTTCACACTTTTCAAAGGTTGGACAGACTCTTATTTGTTTTTGCTTTTTGATTCTCATTTTCAGTGGCTTGAGCAATCTATTCTAGACTTACAAACATCCACCATACAGAGCTTGCAGTTATTCGGGTAATATATTTAAAACAACCGTTGTGTTTCATTTTAAAACTCATTCGTTTGATAGCTATTTTATAGTATCGTTTCAGAACATTGAATAACTGTAATCTATAAGTTCACCTTAGACCTTCATCATATTGTGTTTGGGTCAGCTATGACTCTCCGTAAATCAAATTTATATCAATTAACTTTACCATTAATTTAATGAAAATAATTATTGTGATATCAAACAGTTTGATAACAATCATACATACTTAAACAGCCTATTGTTAAATAATATTGTATTTATTTGCTTATTAATTTAAAGTATATGTTTCTAAGTAAATTTCATTAATTATTTACCTGTTTTGTAAGGTTCCAGGTTATATATTTATTCAATTGATATTAATATAGAATAGCTCAATCATCGTAGAAATATAAACAATACTCTTAACATAAATCTAACTGTACAGTGTGCGTTTGTGTCAACAAATAATAATATTTCATACAAGGCTCATATAATAATATGCTGTTAAGTGTTAATTATTTAAAATAGGTATAAATATAAACCTACATATATATTTTCAAAATATATTTTTATAATTTAAAATGAGAATTTATCCTTCTTTATTTATATTTTTAAAACATGAATCAATGGTGGATTAGATTTGTAAAAAAAATGTGTTAAATGTTTTTTTTTTGTTACAGCATTATGTTAAGATCTTTAATATTAGTTAGAGGAATACATATATCCAGTGCAAACTGGTCATCTAGCAAAGCACAACTTTTAAAATTAAGAAAGAAAACAGGATATCCATTTGAAAGCTGTAAAAAGGCTTTACAATTAAATGATAACAGTTTAGAAAAGGTGAAAACAATTAGTTAAATTAATTTGGTATAATGTAAGTTATAATATGTATTTTTGATTAGTCAGAGGTATGGCTAAAAGAAGAAGCTCAACGACTAGGATGGGCTAAAGCTAACAAACTGGCCAACCGTGCTACAGTCCAAGGAGTTATTGCATTTGCAATTGATAATCAGAAAGAAGTGGCTACTATGGTGGAAGTGAATTGCGAAACTGATTTTGTTGCCCGGAATAAGTGTTTTCATTCTGTTGTTGAAGTAGTCACCTCATCTTGTTTAGATTTTGCTAAACAACAAAAAGCCTTAGAGAATTCATTTTCTAAGGTAAATACATAATCTTAAGCTAAAAATCATTGTTATAATATTATTTGATTTAGGTTAATTTAAAAAGTGGCGATTTAATGGAGTTAAGCGGTGCTGAAGGTAAATCGTTGGCTGATCATGTTGCAGTTACTATAGGTAATCTTGGAGAAAATGTTACTCTCAGACGTGCAACATGTTTAAACACTAGAGACACTGGTTTGAATATTATGGGTCTTACTCATCCATCTAATACTACTGGATCTCAATTTCTTTCTGGTAAATACGGTTCACTTCTAATTTACCGTAAACAACAAGATAGCGAAAAAATTAACCAAAGGTCTATGGAGAGTTCTCATGATGAAATTCTTCGTCAAATGTGTCAACATGTTATTGGTAATTACTTTTTTTATTTATTCATACTTTATTCAAACTAATTTTATTTGTAAAAATTAGTTAATAATTTATGAAAAACAAATTTAAGTTATTATGTTTTATTTAGGTATGAATCCAAAAAGTGTTGGAGTACTTAAAATACACGAACCCATCAAATCTGAAGACGTGGTGCCTGCTAAAACATTCAATGAAAATGATGATTCATCCTTGGATAGTATAGATGACAAAAATTCAGACTCTACAATTGAAGAAGATGGCATGCTTGAACAAGCTTTTTTATTGGACCCATCTATAACTGTAGGACAAGTAGCTACTGATTATGGGATTGATGTACTAGATTTTGTGCGTTACGAATGTGGTGAAACATAATTTCTACATTTCTTTGTATATTAAGTAATTTAAATTTAATTTTTAATGATCATGTTCAACTGCTTTTTATTATAGATAGAAATTATAAAATGCTGTTTTATTTTTATCTTCAGTATAAGAAAATAATTCTTTATTATTATTTATTTGATGGTAAATATTACCTTAAATATTTATTAATGAATATTGTGTAGTTAGAAAATTAGTTAGAGAACCAGAAAACAGATTTTTTACTTTAATATCTTTCATATTACAGTATAATTTATAAGATGCTGTACTGTGGGTTATTCACCAATTAACATTTTATTGTTATTCAATTACTTTTCATGAGGAAACTTAAATCTGAAATAGATCTTTTGACCACACATGTCATACATCTTGGTTGTATATTCTTAGTTTAGTAAGACACACAAACTGTTACTATTGACTGGCGCAATTTTATCAAAATGGTTGGTATTGAACATTTCTTTGTTTAGCCATCTATTTGTAGACACTTAATGTTGAAAGTTACAAAATAGAAAAGTATATTTAAATAGAACACATTTTTATAGATTATGAGCGAATTAATGAATGTATTGATTTTACAATGATGTGTTTTTTTTTATTTGAGTCTATGTACACGATAAGTAGTCAAAAAAATTAATTTTTATATTCAGTACCTTTTCCAGTGGGAAAGTGAGTCTAGTTGGTGCATTTGGGAGGCCCAAAATTAAAATTCCCAGTAATTTTCAAAAGTGTTGGGAAAAACCAAAAAAATTTAAGAAAAACTGATTTTGGTATATCCCCTAAAAATAATTATAGTAGATACATACAATTTTCATTGAATAGTTATATGTATAAGCACTTTCTATGTTCCATAAAATATAAAAAATATATACCTTTTATTTTTAAATAACCGAAGGTGCATGAACTTTTCACCAAATATACTTGTATATTAGAATATTCTATTTACCATACAATTTTCAATATATTTCAACTCAATTTCAGCTATTTATTAGTATATGACATTTTTGATTATTATTAATTTTTTTAGAATTAATCCTTATAAAAAAGTCTTACTCTGTCAAAAAACTTGAAAAAGTAATACAAGGTTCCTCGTATTTTGTTATTAAAGGAAATTAAAAAAAAAGTACAGTGTAAATCCACAAAAATTTTATATGAGAGTTTGAATTTCAAATTTTAATAAATTTCTTAAAAATCACAAAAATGTTCAAATTATATTAAGTTGAAAATGTATAAAACATTTTATTTTTGCAGCTTATATTTGAAAATTGAATACAAGATTCTTCATACATAAGTTGATTTACCTTTATCAAAAAAAAAAATCTTTTGGAAAGTCAAATTAAATATGTATGAGCGTTTGAAGTTGAAATTTTTACATTGGATATTCACTCGAATTCTCATGTAGCGATTTCTTATTTTTTTGTAATTAAAAAACTTATAACTGTATATACTTGAAATGTGCACAAAAGGTTTATTTAAAACGACTTTTTACATACAATTTTCAATATATTTGACTCGTTTTGAGCTGTATCAGGCATTAAAAATTTTTTTTAGTTTATTTTACTATAAACGTCAATATAATTTTGTTCATTCGACATTTTCAAATCCAATTTTTTCAACATAAATGAATTTTACCTACTTTAGTACTATTGCTTTTTATATAGACATATAGTAAAATAAGTTACTTTAATTACAATATCATAAAATATACCTAGGTACTTATAATATTACAGGCTGACAGACTGTCTTAGCTCAAATTCTTGCACAATGATTTATATCATTGAATTAGAGTTTAACATATCCATTACAGCGACTCCCTAAACACCTGATGAGTAGCGGAGCGTTACCCACTTACCCTCTTTTTGGTCATTTATTTGACTGATGAATCATAACATATTAAGTGGGATTTAATGACTTATCATTACACCTATATTTTTCAAAAACAACTTATAATTGAATCAGAGAATGCTTTTTGCATTATGGTCTTAATATTTGTTATAACCTTAGTCTGTCATTGGTCATAATTAGGTCTCGGATTTAAATGCACTTAAAAAATGCTCTAAAAAATAGCCAAAAATGCCCTTAAAAAATGCATTTTACCACAAAAATGACCTTAAAATGCCCTTAAAAAATACAATTTACCACAAAAATGACCTCAAAAATGCCATATATATTTTTTTGTACAAATTGTAATTTATACCTAAATGAGACATAATAATTACTTTTACATAATTATTTTATTAAAAAAAACTAAAAGTTTTAAATATTAACTGATATGATGTTGACACGCATGTTTTGGCCGTTTTAGGGGAAATATTATTCATTCTAAACATCTACAGTCAATAATAAATTAAGATAAGATAAAAACTAAATCGAAAAAAAAATGACAATGTGTATGGAAAAACCCGATAAACCTTCTTAAATATTAAGAAAATAATTTATTTTTCTATAATTTTTTGAATAGTCCAAGTTTTATATCTATTTTGAATAAATATGCATTAAAAACCAACAAAATGACCCAATAATGCTAAAAATGCTCTGAAAAAAAAAAACGTAGAAATATGCAAAAAAATGCAAAATAAAATTTGTAGCTTTCAAACCCTTGTTACATGGAACGAATTATGTACTTAGAAAGCATTGTATATGATCAACCAAAAAATTATGCACTTTGCATTGAAATCCGGGTCCTAGTCATAATGCTTTTGATAGCACGTTAGTCTTTTATGACTGAGGATCGTGTTAAGTTTAGTGGTTTATGGCAATTTTTTAACTGCTTTGAGTTGGAGATCATAATTTAAAGATTATAAAAGTTAATACGAGGTTGGTACAACAAAGATACTTTCTTTATCATTTTATTATAATAAAAACTTTTTGTACTTTTTAAAAATTTATAATCAGGATCATCACCTAAATTATCTGTATTATAGAGAGAATCTAACCTCCTATTCTTCAACATAAGCAATGATATTTTGTATATTTTTTTATCGATTTTTATAGTGTACTAAACAATAAAAATAATCACTATGACAAAATAAAAATTACAGCAATAGCCTCGGTGATCAGTTTCTAGTTAATTTGTATAAGTGCTAACTCTAATTTTTTTATTTTAAAAATATAAGATTTAAGAATAATATACCATTGGACATGTTGTATAAATGAACTATTATGGGGTTAGAACTCTATTAAAGGTATAGTTGGAGTTTTAAAAATGTGACTGTAATAATCATGGACCTTATACTAATAGTACTATAGACTATAGTATAAGTTAAATTCAGTGGTACTTAACTTGAAGACATTTTTAGAATACAAAGAAAAAACTGAAAACTAAATTATAATATTCCTCAATCTCATTCTATTAAAAAATTATTATTTTATTAAGTAAGTAGCATACTACTTACATTCTTTTGGATTTTTAATTTATATTAACAAATGCAATACTAAGTGAATTCAAGATTTTGAAATTACAGTCAAAATAATAATCTTTCATTAGTTTTACTTAATTTGCTTGGTTTTTTAATAAGTCAGTTAATAATTGATTCTATTTTAGATATAGTTATATGACTTTTTTTTGCTTTAATAGTTTAATTTGTTAAATATATAGAACAAAATTTTTCATTATTTAAATTGGCCCATTGTATCCTAGTAATAACGTGGTCTATAACTTGCTAGTATTAGAACAATTAAATTAGTTTAAATTTTAAATTTTAAGAATTGAGTTAAATAATATATAATTATACATAGTAAAATTGTTGGGTACATTGACTAAATGGCTTAAAAGTTAAATTGTAACAATTAAATCTTAATAAATTAATTGACCAAAGTAGTTGTAAATCAGAGAAGCTCTTGGATATCATCTCGACATCAATACCCATTTATGATTTATGTTGTTAGCATCTGAAATAAGTTTTTATAAAATTGCTTGTGAAAATAATTATATGAGAGAACTCAATTGAGTATTTTATTATGAATCAATAATTCAAAATCTAGTGTAATTATTGTCTTTTTTTGGATCAAAAGTTATCATTCCTCATTAAACATGATTGCTATGTTATGTAGAATACATGTGGATCTAATTACCACCATAATATTGTACATTTTTATCGGATTTCGTACTCTAATATACGGAATCTTCTTTTTGGTATTCCAAAACATATTCTAATTTCGTTCCTTGTATGTATATGAGACTTGTTATATATTTGCTCAATTTCTGTGTGGGGATAAGTAATGGTTTTTAGTAGATACTTTAAAGCAGGGTAGTTACTGTCCCCTGTTATATTTTAAAATACAACTATGTAGAATTTAATACTTTTTAAATATTAAATACATTTGTAAAAGAAACCATCGTTTTTTATTTCTTATTTAATGAGAGATAATTTGTATATTTCCCTGATTTCAATCACACATGTACTTGTAAATTTATACAAACTATAGCATCATGAGTTAAACTAGGAAAGTGAGCATAGCATTAGTTACAAATTTGCATTGTACCCATATTCTACGAGAACAATTCTTTTCTATATTGAAATTCTTATGCATTGACTTTTCCTATATCAAGGATGCGAACCTTTTTTGGGTTAAGTACCAAAGTTTAAAAACAAAAACATTTTTAAAATATGATTACATGCCCCCTCCCTTCAAAAAGGTCTTTTTACTGAGAAAAAACAAAAGTGAGTAATAATTATTAGTTATTATACACATTTTATTACGCGTTTTTTTTGTTAACTTTTATTTAAGGAAATATTTATATTCTCAAAAAAAATATCATAAGGTTTTAAATATATTTGATACATTAATACTCTATTTTTTCATGAAATTTCTGTTGTTGTTTGTTCGAAGGTAAAGTTCTTATTATTACTAACTTATAAAATATTTGTCTTCATAATAAGTCAAGAAAAATATTTTAATTAATTTTGAAGTGTCATTGAAATTTGGCCATTTCTGGCACGAGTGCCATAGGTTTGCCACCTCGGTCCTATAACTAAAAAACAAAGTAAAATATGCAATACTCGGATCTTAAAAAGTTATAAAAATGATATTATTTCTTTGGTCGCTAAGTGATTATATTTTTATACGGTTACAAAAGCCCTATTAGTTTATTAGAAACACTAGAAAACTTGGCTACATTAAAGAAATTGTTGGCCACTTCAGGAATTTGAGCTTCAGTTAATTGTAATTGAATGAAATGTTTGCAACTTAATAATATAAATGTAGGTAATTATTAGGTGTATGAAGTATCTATATTTACGTACAATTATTTAAATCTTAAACATTGATGCATTATAAGTCTTTTATATTATTTATACTTACCGGTAATGTCTACAAAATATTGATAATTGGTTTAATAGGAAATCTGACTTGTTTCTAAAAATTATTAGAAAAGGACTTTGGTTACCTAATATTTGTTAGGCCAACTGTCATTTTCCAAAATTAGTGATGTACCTATTGGAAAGAAACAGGGGCATTTCACACCCTAGAATTTAAGTAATAAATATTTATTTAAAAAAAAATTCTTATACGTAGGCGAAAGTACAAATAAGCACTCATGGCCTAATCTAATACAAACAGAGTGTCGGACAATTCCAGTGCTCTTTATGCAAGAATCGGTACCATTTAATTGTCGTATATAAGTGAAATTATTATCAACTATAAGATATAGTTTTTTTTTTATTGACTCATTTTTAAATAATATTATAACTTGAAAGTAGCAAAAATACATGTTTTTACGAGGTAAATTAATATGAAGCCTCTATGCAATTTTTTTTTTTTGAGAACATAAATGATAAATTTTGGTCTGATCTATTGAACAAATTTTTAGTTTGCCTATATTTTTCTATGGTCAGTGGCGGATCTACTGATCTAGGATTTTAAAATGGTGGCTGGTGGGTGCTATTTTGATATTAGTGATCATTAGTTACTCCTTGTGCACAATTTCAGAGTAAAAACTAATTTGACCTATTCTATGGTCCCTAGTACAGTATACCAACCACTAATATGCATACGCAATAACAGATACATAATTTGTATGTATTTGTGGCTCTTTCTTATCCTGGGTCATCTCCTTTATTGAAGATCGTCAGCAAATAGTAGCTTACAAAGAACACTGGTCAATTCCAATTCGTGTTACATCAGGAGTTCCTCAAGGGTCCCATTTAGCACCAATATTATTCCTTATTTTTATTAATGACATTCATTTCCATAATTGCACTAAATTAATGTTTGCCGATGATATGAAGTTATTCCGTATAGTTGATAATCAGAATGATTCTGATTTACTTCAGCTCGATTTAAATACTCTCTATGAGTGGTGCATTAACAATAATTTTACTCTTAATACTAAGAAATGCCAGATAATGACATTTTCCAGAGCTCGAGTTATTTCTTCATTTGATTACAACCTTAATGGTGAAACACTCCTTCGGACTATGGGGGCTATTAAAGACCTCGGTATTTATTTCGATCCTAAACTTAAATTTGACAGTCATATTACCAACATTGCTAACAGGTCAAATAAAATCCTTGGTTTTATCCGTCGTAATTGTGCTGATTTTGACGATTCATTAGCTTTAAAGTCTATTTACTGTAGCTTGGTACGCTCTATTTGTGAATATGGCTCAATAATATGGTCTCCTTATCAATCGGGTCATAAGCAAACCATTGAAAAAATTCAACAAAAATTCCTACGTTTCCTTTCATTTAAATGTTCCATAATCAGAGAACCCCATTCTTCATATACTCCACTACTAACAATTCTCAACCTCGAAACACTTGAACAACGTCGTCTGCGATTAGATTTGTACTTTTCGTATAAACTTTTTTCAGGAAATATTGATTGTCCTGAGTTCCTAAGTCGCTTCTCCTTCCATACCCCTATTCGTAACTCCCGGTCTAAAAACACTTTCTATCTAAACACAGAAGTAACTAATTACGCAAGCAATACTCCCCATCATAGAATTATGAAAACTATAAATAAATTAAATATCGATCTGTTCATATCACCAAACTTCAACTCATTCAAAAATTATTGTAATTCCTTACTTGTTAATTCATAGCTATAAGTATGTTAAATAATATGTATGTATAATAATTAATATTGTACCTACCTTTTTTGTTTTTCTCTATAATTATTCTGTTTATGTATATTACTTAACGATCGATTGTCGTTATTATTATTATTATGTATGTAATTGGGCCTGGCCCGTTTAAAACTTAAATAAATAAAAATAAATAAATAAATAAGTAATTTTTTAAAAAAAGAAGTGCAGTATGTTGAAGTGGATATTGCAGCTTCCAAGCACCTTAATACCCTAAATAAATCTGCTATAGTATATATGAACGACTATAATATAATAATTACAGTAATATGCATTGATACATTATGTATACTGTTTAGTACATTTGCTTCATTTAATACTCAGTTGGTAGGATTGCTATTGGATTTGCTATAGTTCCATAGTAAGATTTTACGTAATATCCTTGTAATGACCTTTAATACAAATGTAGATACCAAGATCAGCCACTGCTCCCAACCAAAATCATTGTCAAGGAAATATTGGTTGAAGTGGAAATTATCTATTTAGTATTTGAACCATATGAAAAGGTGCTTATCATTTACTTATTAACTTATAAACCTTTCTGGTGTTCTAATTCATTTTCAATTAACTCTAGTCAACCTAAATTGTATTGCCTTAACCTATACTGAGCAACATTCCTTCTTCATCTGGTTCTTAATACACTTTTTACACTCATCACTAAATCCACCCACTTTTCTCAATCCCTGCCATAATCTGTACATTATTTTACTCCAATCCTGTCAAGATCTTCATTTAAACTTTCAGTGTTAATACTGTATTGAGAAAATGACTTAACTGGAATTACCGAAATCAAATTTGTATTTTAAAATTTTTGTTTAACTTTGAGCAGTTAAATTAACAAATTAAAGATAGTTCAATTTTTACTTTATTAGTACATTCAATATTTTAATTTTAATCTTTTAAACGTTTAACATTGCAGAATAACAAAAAATACTTCATGTAGTCTAAACAAAATTAACTTATAATTAAAAAATATAATACAAAATTAAAACTCATTAATAAACTTTAAATCGAAACTGGGTCACCAAAACTTGAAACTACGAATACAATTTTTTTTTTAATAAGAGATACTTTATCTCCAAGTATAATGAAATATAAATAAATGAATGAAAAAATAATGCTTCAAATCAGTTTTAAGCAAATAACTATACTACCTAAAGCAACCTTTATGAGATAAATAATAGGAAATATATTAAACAATGTATACTGCCATCTTTTGTACTAAATGATTTATGTAAAAGTAGTTTTTAAATTATTAACGGCCAGTGTTATATCCCGGGAAGAAATACAAAAGAGTTTTAGCCAATGTAGTATTAATATTCATTGGGTAAGTTTTTCCCAATTCAGCTCTGCATGATGGGCATTGGTACACCTCAGAACTGAATGATCTTTTTAAACATCCCTAAAAAATAATAGAAATATTAGATTGTACCAAAACCTAAATAAATCTTTGTCACAAGCTCACTTTACAAATGTTGTGAGCACATTCTAATGTAATTGGTTCAAAGACAATATCTTGACAACATATGCACATAAAAGTTTCTTCAACTCTATCAAAAAATGCCTATAAGGAAAATTATTTAAAATATAAATTTAATTAGGTTAAGAATTATAACTTTTTCCAATAGCTACATACTTTTTTCCCGTTTTTTAACAATTCTTTACAATCATCCCAATATTTTTTATTGGCAGCATCAGCCGTGATCAATATTTCAGCTTCATTTTCCAATTTATAATGCATTTTTGCTTTTATTTCGGTGCTTTTTTTGTCATCTTTTCTTTTTGGTAAATTTTCACTTAACTCATTGTTTTCGATGTCAGTGTCTTGTAGTGTTCTTTTTCTTTTAGACCCTCCGGGTAAATCTGATTTTGTATTATCAAGCCCAGTAGAAGGAATATAATTTTCAGGATACTAGTAAATCACATGAAATTATTGCATAAATTACTTAATATTTTAACTGTTATTTACTTTTTTCAACTCACAATTATTTCAAGACCAAGCTGAGCGATATGCTCTTTGCCTTTTGCTGTCCAAGGAGCTGGTGTAGGATCATCTCGTTTCAATACAAAACGCCATACAATAAATCCAGATATTCCGGTTTCTGGATAATACTTCATAACTTTGTAAATACCATCGTAGCTTTAAAATAATTTTTTTCTCATTAGTCATTGCTAATTAATTAAATTTAGTATCATACAGATTTCAGTTTTGCCATTATTATTTAATGTATTAAAAATTAACAATGTAATGTTTGGATTTTGAAGGACCTATCTTTCAGATCAATTATATTTATAAGTACTTAATTTACTCAGAAAAAAACTGTTTTTAAACATAAAATATTCATACCGATTGCCCACTTCAGGTGCATACTTGGAATGCTTATGAAGTTTATAATTCCGTACAACTCTAACTGGTTTGCCTTTTTTCCAATCCACAGCTGTTGCTCCTTTTTTATTATTGATTTCTGCATTACAGTTGAGCGCTAAAGCCCTAAAATAAATATTTAAACAATTATAATAATAATTATGATTAATGCATTTTGAATTAATCACTGTAAAGAGAAATTACCTGTTGTAGCGTGTTAATTCTTGGTCACAACTCTGCAGAGCAGTGCGTTTATTTCCAGACAGATCTCTTCCACCAGAACCAGTATACATGAATTCATCTCCGTTGTCAATATCATCTTCATAACCACCACTTAATACAATACTAAATGCACCTTGATTATCACGACCATGTATTCCTCCAACAGGCGGACGGTGAATACCACTTTCTGATACCTATAGAATAACAATTTAAAACCATTTATATGCTTGAAAGATTTCTACACTCTCATAAGTCATAACCTAACTCACTTGAACGCGAAATAACCATGTAGTGCCAACTTCAACACCTGGAATGGGACCAAAATGGTTTGGTGGAACAATATTACATTTCTTTGTTCTACCAACACATGCCATTCCTTTGCCCCAATCACGTTTTGATGTTGATGCTAATGTCTTTTTTTTTGAGGCCTTTAATTTTCCACCAGCTTTCACAATTTCGTTTTCATCATTTTTGCAGGATGGACAATACCTGAAACAAGTTTTTTGCACATAAATATACTCATAGTAGTAAAGAAAATCAATCTAATTTACAGATTATTGTTTATCACTAACCAATCGTCAACTTCTGGGATCTCTGTCAAGGGCGGTGTAAGGCAGGCCATATGAAAACTTTCATCACATTCATCACATAATATCTGTTTATCTTCATCTTCCTTGCCACCGCAAATACTACAACCGCAGTGTACACATAATTTATTAATGTTGTCTTTACATTTACTACAACTCATAGCTTTAGCTCCTTTTCAAGAAAAAAAACATTTATTTAATATTTTACTTACTAATAACACAATTACAAATTGTTGTTCTTACTTTCCACAGCAGGCATTGTTTGCATGATGGTATCTTCTTCTTCAGTCCTTTCTGCAACTAACTTGTATGGTTTTATTTTTAATATGTCGTCAAGGAACATCAAACGACAATTGGTCAACACTGCTTTATTTGATCCCATAGTAACATCTCCCATGACCTCACGATTTCGTCTATTCACTGTTATCTTTTTCACTAGTACGTCATACCAATAGCCACGTTCTTTAGGATGGTCGGTGTTAAAATTCATAAGAACTTTATCATTAATTTTTAATTGATCAAATGGCAAATTATCAGTAGAATATGGTCTTATGTCTTTCAATTTAGCTTTAGTGGGTGGGTTATCAGGGGCTCTAAATAAATATAATTAATTAGACTTAAAAATACAAATTAGTTTTAAACAAAAAAATGTATGAACTACCCTGCATCTTCTACAAAATAAATCAGTCCATCATGTTCCTCTTGACTATCAGAGGAACTTGGTTCAGTGTCTAGAGAAACATCTTTTTTTATCTTCGCTATTTTACCCATATACCACACACCATATTCATTATCTCGTATATCAACATAATCGCCTAATTTAAAATATTTGCTTTCTTCAGATATATCCTCAATGTTGTCCTAAAATAAAAATAAAATAGAATAGGTGCCTATTTAACTTGTGAAGATTTTAATATGATAAAATTTTTACTTCTATTGTAGAGCTGGTGTCTGATGAAGGAATAGATGTCTTATCTTTTAAATCCTCAGGAACCTTTAATATTGATTTTTTTATAGTGTTAGCTTCAGTAACAGATGTCATGACTGTCAATTGTATAACATCGTTTATATTAATACTATAATCAAAGAGGTTATACTGGTTTTCAAGCTGAAACATACATATAACAATAAAATAAGGGTATTACTACATGTATGCTATTAAATACAAGGAGTAGTTTATGTAAAGGCTGTTGAAACCACACCATTTTTGGTTTTAGGCAATAATCTAAGCAATAACCTATCTATGGTATGTAACTGTGTGTGTAGTGACTGATCATTAGTGTGTGTGTCTGTTTCCGAACCCTATATGTAGGTAATTAAAGATAAACTAAGATTATTGGAATCAGTGACGTACATACTACGTACACATATTACTATGTTTTGTGATAAAAAAATATGTCAATAGTCAATGGAAGTCCCAGAAAGTGGAAGCAAAATTCACCCAATACCAAAAGCCTGATTTTAATTTTGAAAACATATTTGAATTCCTAATTATCTTTTCTAGGTTATGGAGGATATGGATTTTTGATTTTTTGTATTGTTTTATTAGTGTAGTACTAAATGAATTTTTTTTTCTAAACTTGTACGTATAGCATTAGTATGCGCGGATGAAATGAAACTCCTTTGAAGGTATGAAAAAAAAGTTCATCAGGGTCAAATATTAATTTTGTAATGGAAAGTGAAAATTAAGATTAATTTAATATTATTATACAAAGAAGACAAAATATGTATTATTATTTATTGCCATAGAAACCTTAGGGTCCAAACTGAAGACTAGATTTTGCCAGCAGGCATCAATTGTCCGGTTTGTTTTATGCATAGTTGGATTAGGTATGGTATTTAAGGCGGGTCAGTTGGCCGGCTTCAGAATAATTACTGAGCCAGGAGGAACATGGTAACCGGCCATCAAAACCTGATTGTCTGATTGGGCACTTAGTGTTGTGTAAGCCACACCTATGGAGCTTTTTGGTCGCAATGGCTGAGCCCATAAATACGACTTACGCTACCGCTCCTAAAAAAGTTTCACTTCGAAAATGGGGAATGTGCTACTGAATGTACTTTGTTGTGTAATTGAGTGATAAATCATTGAATTTGAATAACGATTTTGGACAACTACGGTTCGTCAGCCACTATTGCACTTATATACCGTTTTAAGATACATACATTTTTTAAATTATTGTTATACTAACTATAACAGCAATAAAATAATAATAATTGAAATTAGTAACTGCCATTTATTTTACTACCAGTAATACATACAGTAAATAGAATTAATTTTTGCTGAAAACATTGTTGGTATATTTTTATACAGGTTATTATTGTTATTAGCTTTTAAGTTATTACTGACTTACCATAGAACGGTGTACATAGGCTTGTGGTACAAATAAGCAATAGTATTCAACTTATTTCAACCTTTTTTATGAGTTTCATCCATACAGTAACAAGTTTTGCAATAAAAATCGTCTAACCCATTTCAGGTGACGAACCTCAAGTTAACAATATAAAATAATACCTATTTTAATGATAATTGGGTAAATTGAATAATTTTTTTTTTAAGACAGCCACTTTTTATATTATTTAAGTTAGAAAGGGTCAAACAAATTCAATTTAAATAATTTAAATAAAACATGATGCCCAATTTTAATGTTAGTGAAATAGGCAAGTACAGGAAATACCTTGATAAATACTTTTTGGATGTTTAATATTATTCAAAATTATTTAGTTGAATAGATATGATTTATAATAGTTACCCCAAGTTTTTCTTAATAATTTAGGTCCTATGTAAATACTTTTATTTTTTGTAAAAAAAAGTTGATAACTGGATTTCTATACCTACCAATGCTTAGAGTTTGTTAAAATAATGTATCTATTTTACATAAACATTTTAATTTAATTTAAGTCAATAATTTTTTATACCACAATCAGAAGTTGCTTGTTCACATTTAATGGATTTTTAAAATTAATATTTTCATGGTTTATAGTATAATATACCTAATCTGTGTTAATGAGCTAATTTCAAAATAATTCTCAGCGAGTCAGAATATCAAATTATCATATAGGTACCTACTTAATGTAGACAGTACAACTTCAATCGTTACCATATGTCATACACAACACATTGCCTAAATTATGTTGTATTGTTAGAATTGCTGGTGTTATATATAATAAAGTAATATTTGTATGCATGGTGAACATGTCATAGGTATTGAATCGATCAATATGATTAGGCAATTGTTACAAAGAAAGATAAGATACTTAGGTCACCCACTGCAACGAGCCGGAGGACTTAGTGGAACATATGCTGTTCCATTGTCCGTACTGGGTGGAAGGTAGGTATGAGATGAAGCAGTGCAACAGTCGACGACTATAGCCAGAGGATGTTCCTGATATCATTCTGGGGCTGGAGCAGAAGCTCCTCCCAGATATGTTGAGAAGGTGGATTGAGTGGAGTGAAGCAGTGGGTAGCTTTTGGCAGGATGGTGGAGACGATGAGGGCAAAAGGAGGCAGCAGAGAGCATCAGACAGGCAGGAGGTGGACGGGTAGGATAAATGTGCTTGTTTTGTGGGCCAATGGCCAGCTATATCAGGGTGGTTAGAGGCCCCCTCATATGTATAATTAATTATAATTTAAGTGTATTCGGTGAATAAATGATACGGGACCAGCTCGCGGCTGGCAGTATTGTGCTAAACAGTTCCCACCCGTTTTTGGTTTTTTTTAAAAAAAAAAAAGGATACTTGGGTGTATGAAAATCAAATTATCATACAACCACATAACCCAATACAACACAAATAATCAAAATAATTATTATTGCCCTGTCTCTCGTGGTGATTTAAACAGTCGTTGACATTTAAAAAAAAAATTTTTAATTATTTGCTCTAAATTGTATAGGGCGATGTACGGGTCACAGTCTAGTAGGTACCTGCAAATGAAAACAACACAACCAGTGGTTGATAATATCACCTGTTTGCCTGCAAAGAACAGTCGTTGATTTTCCGGTTTGACATCGAACCTCTTCTCGATGAGTGTCTTCAAGTCGCTGATCCCCGTCGTCCTAGACGTGGGTATTGCGATCGACTTGCCGGTGCTCATCATTCTCACTATCACGTGCATGATGACCGCGATGATATTATTCTTGCTCTATAATGTTGTACTCTCCGTAGAATATGACAGTGTGAATCTACAGAAACTATAGACTATAATACCATCAACACCTATAACAGATGCTAATCGCTTCGCTCGGTCATACACGTGTTTGAACCTACTGTGGCAACGACGAATTCGAAAATGGTGATACGTGATAACTGATTGCAGTGTGTAGCTGTGTTCACGAGTGACAACGAATTAACGAGTCCTTTGTCATGACTATTGCAGAATTAACGATAAACTCTTGATGATTAAAATGTATATTGTGTATGCGCGTGTGTGTGATTACTGATCTGACCGGATCAGCATTGTGCGTGTGCACTGTTATCGGATATTTTGCTTTGCACTCGGAAACGATTAGCCGCCCGGCTATAAATATATCAGAAAACGTTAATTATCGACAGGCGACGACCAGCAACCGCTGGAGTGGTCTACGCGTTGGGAAAGGTGCGCGGCACATGACATAATAATATTTATTATTACAATAATACCTACAACATATTTTACGACATGAAATCACTTATCATTCGCATACGTACTCGCTCCCACAATATTAGAGAACCTCATAATCGTGCTCAAGAGTCACGACTCATAATAGAAGATAAAACTGCGAGATTTTTATTAAAAAAATACAGATATTATAATATAGACATCCTGGTGCGGATCCAAAGTTAGGGAACAGTGGGTCTGGTAATTTCACGAGGCCACTTATTAGGGCTGAATGTGGATTAGAAATCTATACCTCAAAACAAAAAAAATAAAATATTATCATGATGACGGGTATAAATGTATAATGTATATTACATTAGGTACCTACATTTCTTAATGAATTCAAAATTATCATTGAAAACCGTATTGAAAACATTAACATTTATTTTGTTTATTCGTATGGATTAAATTTATAGTTTAAGTATATAATATGTAAATATATAATTATAGAGGGTATTTAATAAACACTGTGTAGCCGTGTAGGTACCTACTATTATTTTATTATAATAGTTAGTTGATTGTATTCGTTCATACATAGGTTTCAATGGGTTTGTCAAAATTAATTTTTTCCGCAGTACTTGTTTCAATATGACTACCAGATTACTTAGATATGTATCGAAAGGTTTGATAATTTCTCTTATTGTACAACGAAGAAACGTATTGAATCATTTAAGCTGACTAAAAGTTAAAACTTATTTCAGCCATAGCGGTAGCACTATATGCTGATAGGCCGCGTGCCCGCGTATACAACATTTCATACAGATAGTAGATAAATAAAAATACATTTCTTTGGATCAAGACTTTAAAATTGTTTTACAGTTACTATTAGAACATTTTTAAAAACTGTGATTTAATGATAATTGAAATAATTTAATCTAAAATAACAAAATATGCATTAATTTCAAAACTGATTAGCTGATTTATTTAAATCATCATCCACACTTATTTCATCAAAGAAAAGTGGTGCCATCAATACCTAATTGTCTCAGCTCAACGAACGTTCCTACGGGACGCCGTACATAATAAAATATTTACTCAACTTTCTACTAAAACGATGTATAAAATATAAGTAGTTATAGATTGGAAAATTGTGAATTTGATACAAACACGGCATTATATTTTAACCAAATTTAAGTGGGCCCAAGTGTCCAACTGCACCAAGAGCTCCATTTTGTCTGCAAATATTAACAGCGGGTCAGTTATTGAGCTCTTGAACGTCCTCGTAGATTCGTGCTAAACAGTTTTTGCTATCTTGTACAAGTTTTGTAAGTCGAAGACAACAAACACATGCAGGTGTAGCGTCCTTATAATAAACACATATCTAACATGGTTCAACGTATTTTATTTTGAGCGATTAATCGTCACCTTTATGATGATAGGTAGGTCCGAGATCGTATCCCGTAGTAACGTACGTGCGCGGTGAGTGAATGCCAAGCGTGTAAGCCGAATATCACAAATTAAAAATGCTCTTGTAAATTCCACGTATTTGCAGGTAGTTGTTTTTAGGATTGGATTTCTAACATGTAAATTCCATGTAAATAACCATAGAAATTCACAATCAAAAACTGGACGAAAATATTTAAGTACCATAATTTCGTTATTCAAGGAAAACAGTATTACCATTATGCAATTCATCAAAGCTGCATCTAATCGTTCTCAAACCAAATTTTAAATTTTATTTGAGTAATTATTTTTTTAGTATAATAATAATAATAAAAATAATTTTTTTATAATACCTTCTATTAACTACCTGTTAATTATTGATGTTTAATAATTATATTATATATATTTTTTAATAATTTAATTTATATTTTTTTTCAACTAATTATATTATGTTTAAATAATACATTTGTACATAAATTATGTTGGTATATATAACTTACATAATGTTAATTATTATTAATAATTATATATTTTTTTTATATTTATTATATTTTACTAACAAGTGATCATTTTCGATTAAGGTCTAAAAAGGTCGCAATCGATGAATTTTACATGCACTTAAATGCTCATATTTCACTTGAAAAAATAAGATGTAGACTAAAAAAACGACGCTTAAGCTCAGGTTTTATTCTTTAACTACAAGTTTGATAATAGCTCAATGCACACTAATATCTAAACTAACTACACATAATTGAAACTAGTGAACGATAATGTGCCATGTCGGCATGTCGCGTGTTTGTAAGACGGCGACAACAAATTCATTGGTAGTATACTTTTGATACATTATAATAATTACTATAAACTACTTTTAAGAAAAACATACCATAAAATCTTGACTTTGATGAACTTCCTCCAGGTCTATATCCTGTTGGTTTTTTTCTAATTTTATTGTTTTGTATAGACATTTTAAATTTTGCCATTTGATTTTGAATAATTCACCTATATTATAAAACTATAAAATACTAAAAATGATTTATTTGTATGGATGTATAGGTAATACAAATGAAAAACACATGTAATAAATATAATATTGTAAATATAAATATAATATAATATATAAATATATTATAATATACGTTATAACTACGTCGTATACTCGTATCCCGGGTAGAAATATTGGTTTTAAGTTAGGTAGTGTCTGCAGATGTTAGATGTATTGGTCCTGGATTGATCTATACTCCATACACCAGTCCAACACCAATAATTTATTTGAATGACAAATTACTATTGAAATTCTCAAGGTCACCAGTGTCAGACAATTCGTGTCCAAATTGTGAAAAAAGTCGAAAAAAAAATCTAGCCGCAATTTGATCAAACCTGCAGTTTTCGATTTGGGTAGCCCTACATTCCTTTACCTGACCTCATACCGGTTTGAATTTCAATTCCTATATTATGCTATTCAAGCAAATTCAAATGTATCACGTTTTTTTACAGAATTCAACAAGTTCCCAATAATAATTTTCTTGACAACGTTGGTGAGTGATGTGACTGATAAACGTTATTATATACTTATTAGCAGCACAAATAAAACAAAAAATGATGTGTTTCTTTACAAAAATGTGTTTATCAAATATAATAAAAAAGTAAATAAATGTTGAATCACTTACATCTAATCAAAATCAATATAGTCCATAAGCCCATAATATAATAATACAATAAATAAATATTAATAATAATGATATCAATCAAAATGTCACTCAAAAATTTGGTTTATACTTATAAGATAAGCTATTTACAAAACTTAACAGTTTTATTTTATTTTAATTTACAGATATAGTATGGCCAGTATATGGGTAGAATATAAAGGTCATGCTTTTATTGTTCATAAAACTAACTAAACAGTTATAAATCGGTTTATTTAAATAGCATAAAAGATAACTATTTATCTATTTATTTAAAAAGATAAGTATTTGATGTTTATTGAACAATATGAACAATGTAAAAGTAATTAAAGATATCAATTGCTGTTTTGTTTGCTTATATTTATAAAATAAACTATGACCTTTAAAACATAGAATTCAATATAAGGTTTATCGACAATTTTTAATTCAATTTTTTTAATTTATATTACATTAATTTTTAGTAAGATGATCTTAAACTTTATTTTTAGTCGGGTATAAAATAAAATTAATAGTAGCTAAATATACGTTCATATGTGAATTTTACGTCAGGGCCTAAATATTTGGCTGTATAAAAGTAGTGTGTAATTTAATTCTTGTTACTAAATTCGTTTTTTTATACTTCATATTATTATTTATGACATAAATAATTGACAATTTTTAATTTGTATTATGAAAAATATAATTATTTGCTAATTAATTTTTACCTACTCGTTAAACATTAGGATTTAGGGTATTATTAAACAATAAACGAACTACGAACATGATTGACGAATAGGATAATAAACAATAATTCATCTCATATTTTATCATAATAGTTACGGTTAGGTTTATCTGTAACCGTGCCTGTAAATTTTGATATAAACCAAACAAAAATTCACTAACCAGGGCTGTGAAATTTGAGTACTTGAAACAAATAAAAAATTTAAAATTTAAAAAATTATTTTAAATAAACTTAATAAAATAAATTCATAGAAATATAATATATTATGAGGGTTGCAAGGACAGATATGATAAGTATCATAGACCCCTCTAAAATTAGAGTGGGTGGGGGGGAAGACAATATTTTCAGTTCAAAAATTCTACTTTTTATTATATACCCGCTCAGGCCCATAAAGTGAAATCATTAAACTTTATAATTTAATATCTTCCCATTTTAATTGAATCAATTGTCGTTTACCAGCCAATGTCTAACGTGGAGGTTACTTGAGTGATTGCGAGAGTATGAGTAATCAACCACGAATAATACGAGACCAAAATTCCTAGGGGGGGAGGCATACCCACCATGGTAAACTGATGGGTCAAAAGGTAGTGTAAAATGTAAATAATAACCAATACGAGTAAAATTACTCACAGTAAAATTAAAAGAAATTTCTATTTCTTGTTATGAATTTGCCAAATTCATCATTCCCAATAATTATTAGTATAATAAAATTATTAATTTATTAGAAAAATATTTGTTGTATCTCCTCATTTATAATAACGACTATGTTAAACAATAATGCTAAGTTAAGTAAATGTAATTCATTGTGTAGGTCATAATCTCATAATTTATACGAAATAACTGCAAATTACAATGTTTTGCAGACAATATGAAACTATTTATTTTATGATTTCAAGTTTTAGGAATGAACCGTAATCTAGGTAGATAAATGTCATGTGTCATGAGCCATGAGTCATAACCGATAGTAGATCTCCTATATTAAACTATTATCATACAGGTACATACAATATTTCGC